ATTGAGGCATGACGAATCATAGTAGACCTTGTCATGATATTACTTTAAAGAATCTTCAATGATGAAGTTTGAACCTCAATGAAGCTTTGTTGAAGAAGGCATGGAAATAAACTCATGAACCTATGAATTCACCTGGTGAAATGTGTTGTGCTCTCACTTATAGAATCATCAATTAGAGCAAACATTAATTGTATTTGTTAGTTAAAAGTTAATCAATAAAAAACAAATATGATCACAATATACAAATCAAGGTACTTGGTGATTCCTCATGAGCAAACCTAAATATAGGGAGAAGAACCAAACCCTAGTGTGATCTTGTTGTGATTGATTTGATATGAGATGATAGAAGAATCTTAAGGGGGAAAATTGGGGTACAACAGAAGCAATTAGTCCTTTTTCCACCAAACACATATCTTGGAGCGGTTAGTCTTTAAGTTACTTAAATATTGAGCTATAAACCTTGGTTTTACACGAGATTATCCATAACCTTTGAGACTTTAACATCAGACTATTCTTGAACCTATGAAGCTTTTAATACCGAGTTGAGCTTCAACCTATATAGATTTTAACACCAAGCTGACCTAGAACCTAGGAGATTTTATCTCATGTTGATCTCCAACCTAAACTAGGATTTGATCACACAATCCTCAAACCAAAACTTTTAACTGGTTTATCTACTAACCCAAATAAATCCCTAAATGAAAATATCCAACCAAGGTGTATACAAAATATTTCCTTGGTGAATTTACAATTCTACCCTTTCAAGAATTACAAATTTTCCTCACTCACAAAAGGAATTTTCTTACAAAAGCACTTAGGCTAAAACATTAGTGAGAGAAAGTTAAAGAAATGTTTAGAGAGAGGGAGTGAAAGTTGAAAGTGTCAAATCACGATTATGGATTGAATGAAATGACAAAGGATACCTCAATTTATAGGCTAGAGGTTGACTCAAAAAGAAATTTTCAATAAATGTTTTTTAAAACAATCTAATCGATTAGCCAATTTTCCTAATTGGTTATAACTTTGAAATATAATGATTTGTAAGTTTATAAAAGGAAGAAAAATATATCTAGCACTTGAACATCATTAAGGTGATGTTTTAATTGCATGGGGCTCAATTTTTAGATGATCTAACCAATTAGAGAAAAGCTCTAATTGATTAGATAAGTCAAAATAACATGTGATATTTTAGCACTGGGATGATCTCGAACCTATGAAGCTTTTAATACCAGGCTGAGCTTCAAACTATCTTGGTTTTAATATCGGGGTGACCAAGAACCTAGGATATTTTATCACGGGTTGATCTCCACACTAAACTAAGATTTGATCACCCAATTCTCAAACCAAAGCTTTTAACATGTTTAGCTTCTAACCCAAATAAATCCCTAAATGGACAGTATTCAACCAAGGTGTATACAAAATATTCCCTTGGTGAATTTACAATTCTACCCTTTCTAGAATTACAAAATTTCCTCACTCACAAAAGGACTTTTCACACAAAAGCATTTAGGCTAGAGGTTGGCTCAAAAAGGATTTTCCAATAAATGCATTTTAAAATAATCTAATCGATTAACGAGTTTTCCTAAACGATTATAAGTTTGAAATATAATTTTTTGTAAGTTTATAAAAGGAAGGAAAATATATTTATCCGTTGTGAATCATTAAGGCGGTGTCCTATTCGCTTGGGGCTAAATTTTGAATTGATCTAACCGATTATTCAAAAACTCTAAACGGTTAGATAAGTCAAAATTGTACCTCTTGCAATTTTGATATTTCCTAATTCATATGGCACAACTTCAAGATGTTTTTGAAGGTATTTTATTTGTTAAGAACATTTTAGCGTGTGTGCTTTCTCCATGCATTTTTATGATAAAACCCTTATGCTTTACAAATAATTTCACTCAGTACTAAATTAGGAGGTACCATATACTTCAAGACTTTCTCATATGCTTTCTTTGTTGTAAGCTCTTACTTGAGTAGCTTGAGATGAGGCTTTAGATTACATTACATTTGATTGTCATCACTGAATAATCAGGTCCATAAAACCCTAATGATAAGGTTTACATCTTTATCCACTAAACCTTTCATTTTTGACTTAACATAAGACATTAGTTGTCATCATCAAAAGATGATGTCCTTGTTAAAATCACATCACTTGCAAAACAAAGTTCCACATAGTTGAGAGGGAGTGATTCCCAATTGTTTTGATACCTCTACTTCAAAATCGTTGAAGGGAATCCTAAATCTCAATATGGAAAAGTTAAACTTATGAAATGGCACTTAACATCCATCAAAAGAGCTACACAACCTTTTGTCGGGATTGATATGAAAGACAAACCAATCAAAAGACCGCCCCACATCCTAGTGGACACCCTCTAAACTTTAGACATTGACAAAGACGAAAATTGTCCCCACCAATTCCATATCTACCAAAAATAGTGAGTGGTGTCGGCAGTCAAATCAAGGTCTTGTTGATCCTTTCAAACCATTTTTGTACCATTATCAACAAAAAGAAAATGTATGTCATATTCGCCCCAAAAATCAAGATGCTCCCTAAATTTTTGCCACTGGGTTCCACTGTGCAAATACCTAAAATCCATAATGTAAGAGAGAGCCCTCAGACCATCCTGATACGCTTCAACAAAATTAATATCTTTCATGGGAATGTAGAAGAATGGGAACCATGACCGTCTTTTCCACTTATGAGAATATCCAAGTTTACCTCTCCAACTCCTTATACAGGGTTATCTACATTTCCCCCAAATAGAGATTTATTAATCCACTGCTATTTTCGATATATAGAACCTTCCCTGGACTTAGAATTATCACTAAGTACTATATGATTGGCTAAAGGGTGAATTACCAAAGGAGCAATACTTTGTATTTCTCGGTCTACCATAAGCATGGCAATGAGGCAGAGCAGTGACAGTTTTAACCTTCCCAAAACTCAAACCTGAATTTCTAATAAGTACATGTTACCCTCCCTATTCCCTATCATGGATGAAAAATTAAACCTCAAACACATCACAAATAGGTTCGGGTTGGGATCGTGTATCCCGACTCTACTCCCATCTCTCTGATGTAATCATTTTTTTAAATAAAATAGTCGTTTATCTTATAACTAAGTTACATTACAAATGAAAAAGTAAAACAATATCAAAAATTTCAAAACATACATTTTAAATAATAAAGTAAAGGCAAAATACAAAGGTATTATTGATACAACTATTATTGCAAATTATCAAAATTAAATAATAAAGTACAAAGTGATATAAATGGGGTGAGTTTAGGGTGGATACTAGAGTCTCCGTTACTCGACCCGTTCCCGTATTTGTAATTGAAAAAAAATTCAAATTCGAACTCAAACTCAATCAAAGTAGGATTTCTCTATCAAACTCAGGGCGGGTTCATGTGAGTATTTATGGGTTCAATTATGTTGCTTTGCCTAGTCTACCACTCATGTGTGAGATGAAGCATCACTTATGTCGTTGTCACTAGGTATGTTTATAATGTTTGCATATCCACATCGTAAATTGGCCATTGCTAAATAGAAATAGCCCGAAGTGACAACAGTAAACAAGAAGGAGAGAAATGATATATGGAGAAGGTTGAAGATGGAAATCTAAAGCTACAATGATAATTTATCAAAGCGTGAGAGATTGAATGAGTTGCAAAATCTGAAAAGAAAAACAAATGGGTAGAGCAAGTTGTCACCGAAGTTCAGGGAAGGATGATCGGTGTTGGAAAAGAAAGAAAGAAAGAGTTTACGCAAAAGGTGAAATGTAACATGAGAAGAGAAATTGCCTTTATATAATGGAGTGAGGGAGTCAAATCAACGACATAGAACAAAGGAAGGTAGTCAGACGAAAAGTCAACAAACAAAATTCACTTCGAGATCACAACACTCGAGGGCACTTAAGGAGCATCCTAAAACACAACATCACCTTACCTTAGGGGTCTATGACCATGTGGTGAACGTTCATGCAAAATGTTTCGGTAACAAGACTTGCATTTAATGCGCTTATTTTCAAGGTCACATGCTTTCACTCTTTCTACATCAATAAGGTATGAATATGTGATGAGGGGGACAACGGTCTGGTACTTTGAAAATTCTTTCATTTTTATACAATGACAAATCTTATGGGCAACTATTCCTATTCTTGGTTAATCACATGCCCAGGGACAATAAAGCCTAATCATGATAAGGTGCAGTCCAAGAATGTATGTGCCAAGATATTGAGGGTCCAGAGCTCTCACAATCATGAAACCTACACTATATCCTCTCCCTTGGAAGATCGTACACCGTCAGATACAATATGACAACCCACACTATATAAAATTTATCATGTGTCATTTCAGATACTCTTTCATTACACTCTCAAACTACTTTCTCAACTCATTCATTAATTTGAGCGTTAAGTGTTAATCTTACAAGTCTATATTCACTCAGTCGTACCAAAAACTCATATCCAAATTCATTTGATCTTTACATATTTCACTTAACTAAATTGGCATGTAATTTATTTGTTGTTAATGTTGTATATAACTTTATTATGAGTTCATTGGAATACATAGCTCATTAATAATATATTGAACATTTGTACACATATTAAATAAGCCTTGTAATATTAAATAAACCTTGTAATATTAAAACAGAAAAGATAAGGATGAACTTTGTTCAGAGTAGTATTTGATTAATCCGCAGATGCCGCCAAAACTAGCCTACCATTCTATTCCAATCCACCTAGAACTCTCCCCGGTGACCAAGACTGTATCACTTCTTTTGAACTATCCAATTCAATTCAATTCAAAGCTACAAGATATGAATGAATCACACTAGCTTACAACACCTCACATGCTTTCTTCTATGAATTCAAAGATATTAAAGCCAGCATATAAAAAAGACCTTATACCATTATTGTTATTATAATAGGTGAAAATGCATACAACAATAAACAAAATATAACTAAGTCTACTTAATTAAACAATAATAATTTTCATCACATAAAAGTATCATTAGAGAATGAATTCACAGATAGATCTTGCAAACCAAAATCATTATCCACAACCAATCCATCAGAAACATCCATGTTTCCTGAATTTGAACCAAAACTGTTGTTGTTCTTGACATAATCAAATGAGTTATAACGATTCTGCTGTTGCTGAGCCACTTGAATTTGTTCCATCTTCAAAGGAAATGGCCTAGAAACTTGATTGTAACCTGTGCTACTAAACTGTGGCATTAACCTTGTTGTTGATGTATCATGTTGAATATTCTGTTTGCTACCTTGTTGAAAGTTTAAGGTAATAGGTCCTTTATGAACACCTAACGACGACGACGACGATGATAGACTAGTGCTAGGACAACCTGTGAATTGTTGAACAAGTTGTCTGAAATTCGTTGTGTTTGCATTGAGAAGTGTTGTTGGTGTTCTCTTAGAAGCTCTAGATCTTCTTCTAATAGGTTTGGATACACTACCACCCTTTGGTGTCAACTGGTCACTGGTGTTTGAGTATGAATTTGTTGGACTCATAACTATGGTTTCTAATGGAAGAGGATTTGTTGTCATAACAGTTGAATCAGAGAAATTTTCTATAGCATGATGATCATCCATGAGAGATTGTTCATAGAATTGCATCCAATATTGATCAGTAGAAGCAGTCATAGCAGTATTACTCATATTGAGGAGGATCAAGTAGTTGATAACTCTATTGACATAGTCTTAGAATATTTAAAGAATGAAATGAAACATGTTTTTGTTTAGTGTTTTAGTGTTATGTGTTCATGTGTTTGTGTTATGTGTTAAGTGTTATGTATATGTATGTGAGTATTGTCAATTTTCATGGTCAAAGTAAAAATGTCCAATATTGACTATTCTTTGATAGTGATAGGGAAGAAACTTAGAGACAAAGAATAGTGTGGTTCGAGGAAAGAACGTATATTGAAGTTAATGATATTAGTGACGAAATCAAAATCAATGATAACATCTTTTTTGGGAGTGTTTGTTTGTTATGTTAGTCTTATTGTTTGTTTGGTCAGAAAAATGTGTAATGTTAAGTTGAAAATTATAAAGTGAGATATACTATGTGTTATAGCTACCTACCCACCATACCTTTGTTGATTTTATTTAATTAAGCTTCCTGTGTAATTGTATAAATTTGGCATGAACGTGTAAGCTACTCCATGAAATTTCTGTAAATTTTATTTTCAATTAACTTGATGGTTGTCATTAAACAAAAATCTTTTAATTATAGGTGATGTACAGTGTAGAAGAAGAAGTCAAGAGGCACGTGAGTGTAGGGTACTATAGTCTTGGTCTTCGTTCCCATGCCACATACCTATCCTATACCCTTTTTTTTATGTTTATGTCTTAGGATAATATTTTTACTTAGTCCATACTTCATGCAAGAAATTGTGCATGAGGATATAATTATTAGAAAATACTAACAAAATTATTTTTTTTATTATAATTTTATTTCTGATTTCGTATTTGATTAGAGTCTCGTATTAGATAATATATGACATAAATATGTACTAAGTGTGTAGACAATTCTCATCGTACAAATCAATTTTGTATATTTGAGTTTGGTTAAACTACAAAAATTACAAATTCTTAACATAGTATTAGAATCTAATTTAAAATTCAGTGAATCATCTATTTCTAAATTTCTCCGATTTGGCCACTCATTAGTAGATTTATGCTATTTAACTACCTACCATGCATTTACATTTCAAGTATTTTCACTAGAGGTGACAATTGGACTTATTTTTACTAAATACCTGTAAAAATTATCGACAATGTAAATCCCATAAAATAGATACAAACATAGACACGAGCAATTACTCACTAAAATAAGTGGATATAGACACGAGTACGAGTGTGTGTATGTGTGCGTGTGTGTTTAGCTTAATTTTTGGAAGAGGCAAAAGCAATTATAGAGATGTAGAATTGATTTTAGAGTAATTTTAAGGTGTTTTGGCTCTTTTAATACAAAATTGATTCTACCTCCAGAATTGATTCTATTAGAAGTTAAAATTTGTAGCTTTTGTCTTTAGAATTGATTTTGAGTGATTTTTACACTGATATTTATTGTTCAACTCACTTTTACATAAATGTATTCAAACTTAAATCAATTTTGCTAAACTAAATTCTGTTAAAATCAATTCTACCAAATTCAATTCTATTAGAATCAATTATGTCTACCGTCAATCCAAAAACATACTATATATATATATATATATATATATATATATATATATATATATATATATATATATATATATATATATATATATATATATATATATATATATATATATATATATCGATCTTGCTGATTGATCAGAACCTGAAGTGGGTCGAGAAGATGGCGTCTGCTTGGCTAGAAATTGAGGAGAAGAGAGGGGTGTACTTGCAAGGTACTTTGACGCTCAAGTAAGGAAGAGTGCAAAGAGATACAAGAAAGAGATTAGTGTTTTTAGATTGAATATTGGATACCTGACCCTCACAAGTGTGATGGTTTATATAGTGTCTCTGACGCTTGGTCATTGGTTCCTATTTTTGGGCCTAGATGTTAGGTTCCTCAAAAATTAGAAACTGTCAGGACTTAGTCAAAACGGACAGTCATGCTCGTAACTAGTTGTTGCTCTGAGCATAGTAGGGATTACAGGAAGATGTGTTATGAATGTTTCTCGGTTGTCTGCTCCACGCGTGTTAAGCACACTAGGAGGTGGTTTCCAATGCACGAAGGCGCATGGCTCAAGGCATCGTTGGTCTCTCTGTCCATGTAGTACAGTCGACCAAGTTTGCCTGAATGAAGGGCCATAGCCATGTTGAAGGTAGAAGCGGATTGGGCCAATTCTAGCCATTGGGTATATCGAAAATAGGAGCCCCTAAGTTATTGCTTCTAGGAAGAGGAGTGGTGACTTAAGACATGCCTGCGGATAGGGGACGTTTCGTGATTTCAGGGACAATTTCGTACGACGAGCTCGAGTATTGCTTCGTGTGTTCGACTCGCGGAGAGAGGAACAATTGATTAGATCTGAGGAGTTTGCGTGCCACGTGATGTCATTAATGCGTAATGATGCCAAGTCTAGGGACTAGGGCGTAATGATGAAGACTCTTAGGCTTCCCTATGCGCGTGTCTGTTCACGTGCTAGTAAAGTTGCCTATAAATAGGTGAGAGGAAACTTCATTTGCACTTTTTCGCTTGCTTCCTCCTGCTAGTTTCTTCTCATTTCTGCAACACACCGTCGTCCATCGTCGAAGCTTGTGCTCGCCAGTAGTTGATATGTTGGTGTAAGCCATAGAAGCCAATATTTTTGGTACTTGTATCGAATTATTTATTAATAATAAAAGGCATTTCTTTATTATGTTTGTTTTTCCAAAATGATAAAGTCCCTAGAATAGTTAGTTTGTTTAATGATATGTTAAGTGTGACTTAATCATGAGATCTCATTAAACATAATGACACTATTCTTAAAGTATCTGCAGTCAAGCTTTATTGGGAAGCGGGATAACATTGAAGCATTGAGATTATTATGAAGATAGACTGATGATCAAATCTCATAGATCATGGATAAGGAGTTATCAAGTCTTGACATAGGTATGAATATTAGGAGTAATATTTATACTGGATTGACCCGTTGTAAGAATACTATATAGAATGTTATGCAAAGTGTCATAAGTTATTCTCATGGTGATAAATGGTGTATACCACCCTTCGAGTTGAAACCACTATGGACCCTAGATGTAGAGTTAAGTGCTTTATTGTTGACCAAACATTATCCGTAACTGGATGACCATAAAGATTGTTGATGGGTACTTCACAAAGCATACTGAGGGACATGAGTGACCTAGATAGAATTTGCCCATCATGCATAACAGGATAAATGTCTAAGGGTCCAATATTAAATTGGACAAGGGTGACACAGTCTATACCTTGTGTTCAATATAGACATGAGGGAAAAAGGGTAAATGTACACACAAACATTATCACATAAAAGGTTTTTTCAGATCACATGATATTTTCGTGACTTGGGTAGTAGTGATGTGTTGCTAGATATCGCTCACTGTCTATTATATTAAATATATGATTTAATATAATTGTCAACGTTATGAGAACCTACAGAGTCACACACATAAGAACAAATTGATGAGAGATAGAATAAATAAGGAAGATCGTAAGATACGATGTACTTGAGAGAATTATAGAGCACCGTAAGGTACGGTATACTTAAGTGAAATCTGAAACATTATATAATATAATAATAACAATAATTATTATTATTATTATTATTATTATTATTATTATTATTATTATTATTTTATAATAGTTATAAAATATAATAATAATAATGATAATAATAATAATAATAATAATAATAAAATATGTTTATTACAATAATAGTTATTATAATAATAGTTATTGTAATAAAAGTTATTATAATAATAAAAATATTATTATTATATGGATCACTTAAGTTGGGTTTTTTAGCTTGTAGTTCACACAAGTGGTTCTATAAATACAACTCTTGTGCATAAGCTTTCTCACTTGATGAAATCAGGGTTTGTGAAACCCTGGCTGTATTTCTCTCTCACACACTCAAAGCCTTCATTCGTAGCAGCTAGCATTGAGACTGAAAGTTGTCTGTTCGTGTGGACTAAGTAGAGGTATTGTTCTTCATCAACGCTCGTGACCATAGCATCAAAGATTTAAATCTCCACAAGAGGTAATAGTTTCAATCACTGAACATGCCCATTCGTAAGAATCACTAAAGGAAAATTTAATTTCTGCTGCGTATTGAGTCGCTATTTTCCTTCAGTGGTATCAGAGCCACTTACGAAACCATGGATCTAATAGCTGTTTTATTTTTTTTACTTTCTGTATTAATTCGATTAAAACATATAATGAATTAAATGATTACGATAATTAATTTTGGCATCATGTTGTGTACAATATGGATGATTTGATGTTGACTATGCTTCTGAATCTGACTTTTGTATGGTGAAGCAGCGATACATCGATCATCCATAAGTTATACAAAATTGATTGATCAAATTCATATAAGATATGGATAATTCAAATGCAAAGGCGGTATATTTGATATACCTTTAATTTCATCGATTCAATTAGTGTGATGATTGTGTTTCATATGAATGGTCAATGTTCATTCTACTTCGGAATCCGACATTTGTATGGTGAAGCAATGACATTTGGATCGTTTTAACTGAATAATTGATCATCATATTTTTGATAGTATGAATATGTTGTATTAGAGTTTATGACGATACAAGACTTGTATTGTCAAGAATTATAAAATTTGAGTTTGTAACGACACAAGAATTGTGTATCAGATTTGCAGAATTTTATAATAATAATAATAATTATTATTATTATAAGTTTTATTTGTTTTATAATATAATTATTATTATTATTATTATTATATTTAAAATGAACATGGAAAGTTACAACATATGTTATCATGAAAGTTGTTGTAGGAATCAGTAACGTGACGATAATGTGCCGGTAATGAAAAATAAGTCAAACATTATCTTATGTATTGTGGTGGCAAAACAGTCTGTTATATTAGCCACATGGTTTTATCAAATTACTTTAATTAGTATAATAATAATTGTTATTATTATTTTATTTAAATAATTTGATATACTTTTAAAAT